AAAGGAAGAAACAAGATAAGAAAATAATAGGAAATTCAGAAAAAGAATAGAGAACACTGAGTAAAGACTAATCAAAAATTGAAGAACATTTCCATAGTGGAAGAATGTCATTTTTATGACTAATAGTCCCACTGGGTGCCAGCACAAGAGATGAAACACACTCACATTGAGAAGGCTATTGATATTTCAGGATATTATGGAAAAAAAAGGGAAGATCCCAAAAGTTTTCAGGAAAAGGGAAGGACTAATTCATTAAAAAGGATGAAAAAAATGAATGGCTAAAGACTTCTCTACTGGAACATTGGAAATTCAAACGGTATGGAAAAAATGCCTTCAACATTCTGCATAACATTTATTTTCAATCTTGAAATCAATATCCGATCAAATTATCAATGAAGCAAGAGCCTAGATGAAAATCTAGGTAGATCTTTGCAGGTCTAGAAAGGAAAATGACTAGAGTTAGGACAGGTGAGGAAGGCCCTGAAAGAGGTGCTCTAAGGTACTGAAATTGGCAGAATATTTGATGTAGGCTAAATATCTTGCATGATTGTTCTGAGAGAAGATTGAAACAACTACAATACTCTTGGAGCCATTTAGTGGTTACGTAGAAAACTAAGGAAAACTTAGACAAGTAAGCAAACAGGGAGGGGTAGAAAAGGAATACAAAATGGAAAAAGTAATACAGGTCATATTGCTCAGATGTTCATAGATCTCTACTCTAGGCAGCATTTTGAACATTGAACTCTGCTCTAAATTATCATGTAGCCGTAATGAGAGGATAATAAGGACAGGAAAAGTATGAGTGTGTTCAGTGGTCGAGTCTATGAAAGAAAGAGAAATTCCCATCGTCTAGCAGAGTGGGAATTTAATTGTAATGCCGACAACTGAGAAATCAATATATTATATCATGTGGATATTTTTAGGGTATGCGCAAATAAATATCCAAAAAGGGCTAGAAGATTTTAACCTGGCTGTTTTTGGCAAGCAGAAAATGATTAGCTAGAACTCAGATTTTGTACAATTAGCCTTCAGTAATTATTTAAGTATAAATAGAAACCCTAAAGCTTTCTTACCACTCTCACCCCAGTGGATTATTACGTACACGATTGGAGACCACTGGTTTAGCCTTTACTGGTTCACGTATGCATTTTTAGTAAGGAAAATTGGGAGGAAATGTTTAACATGCCCCTGGAATCTGCATTCATTGCCACCAGGTGGCAATAGTGAGTTATATCTGGAACTGCAAATTTTCTGTTCTGAAATGTCCCCTGAGCATCACCCAAGTGATGATGTCATGGGATTCTGCATTTGGTCATGGCCTAGACAAAATTTGTCTATCACTTGGAAGAATTTGTAGAAGGTATATTCACAAGGTCTTAGGTGTCATATTTGTGTGAAATAACAGAGTTGAGATTGAATTAAAACAGTAGATTACAATTGCTGTGATAAAAGCAATATGAAATGTAATTAAGTATAAAGTCTTAGATGTAGGTTTAAAAACACGTGTAAAAAAGTATCCTGGAAGGCCAAATGGTACAAAGGAAATAACTGACTGGAAACTCAGATGCATGAATTCTGGTTTTAGTTCCACAGGGACCAGCTATATTGCAACTGAGATGAATTTTGGTCTTCTGAAGACTGAGGTCTTTGTACCACATAGTGTCTAAATACTTGTCTGCACTAATAGTCTACAATTCTTTTATATATTGGAAAAACCCTTTTATGATTGTAGAAGATACAAAAAGTATCAAGATGACAGAAGCTACCCCAATTCCATTATTAATAATTTGACATGTTTCATTTTGACATTTCATGTGTGTGGATATATTTTTATTGTAAAAATTACCTTATTCTGCATATTTAAATTCACATAATTCCCCCATCGTGAAACATTATAAGACAAGCACTTTCCCATTCACAGTATGTCCATGTTAATGTCCTTTGGTCTCCTTGGCAAAGGAGGTCTTCTCTGACCATGTCTTCCCTGACTGACTCCAGCTTCACCCCCTAGATGCTTAGCATCTTCTCCCTTCTTTGCATAGGGCTCTTTTTTCTCTTTCTCAAATGCTTAGGAGAAAGTACACCCCCCCCACACAGACACACACCAAATTCCCTCCCTACTTATAGAAGAATATAGTGCTTATTTTATTGTCCTCATCTCTGCAAACACATGCTCTTGACTTTCTACTCCAAATGACCCTTTGTCTCAGGTCTTCAGCAAAAGACTAACCTGCTGAGCACTCTCCCTTCCCTTGTTTTTGTAGTTTCAGTACCAATAGTTGGCTCAATTAATAATCAATTAATTATCTCAGGCTCTTTTAAGAGCTCTATCCATAAGAGACTCCAAATAGAAAGAACAAACTGAGGGTTGCTGGAGGGGAGGTGGGTGGAGGGAAGGGTTAATGAGTGATGGGCATTAAGGAGGGCATTTTTCAGGATGAGCACTAGGTGTTATATGTAAGAGATGAATCACTGGGTTCTACTCCTGAAGTCAAGACTACACCGTATATTAACTACCTTGAATTTAAATTTTAAAAATTGAAAAAAAAAAAAATAACAGCTCTAGTTTTCTGCCCACTGACCTCTACTACTGTCTGTCTGGTCTTCAGTCTTTACCCCTTACTATAACATCATCTCTTCAATAAGTTCGGCCCAGTAATCACATGACCTAAGCAAAAAACACCAACAAAAGAAACAAAAACAAAAACAAAACAAAAATGATAGAGCTGACTGCATAGGGTTCACATTTACTGGATGATAACAGAATTGTTGCACCCTATCCCACCTCCTAACACCTGCACTTAACCCTTAACATGTATTATGATATATTAGCATTACAATTTACTGCAGAATTTAAATTTATCTTGAATTTTTAATGTATTTCTAAATTGTCCATGATACTTGCATAAATATCACCTTATGTGGAGTAGCATTAATGTATGTTTTAAAGGTCTGTACAAAGGAAAAAGTATGGGAAATCCATAAAGGATAAAGCATGGCAAATATATTAGCATTTTCATATTTTGATTTTTAAAATTTTATATCAGCCAATGCATTTTAATCATTGTGTTTATATACATATTTATACACCTATATATTCATATATTTGCAGTTTAGCTTTAAATGAAATCCAGTTTTTTCTTTGTAGTTTTGAAAGGTTTTTTTTTTTAATAATTGTGAGTTTCAACCTGGCAATGAGAATTATATACACATTACATCTTAAAGTTTCCATTCTTATTACCAGTTTAGTTGTATCCATATTATATATCACTTTCTGGTTTCTCTTTGTTCTTTTCTATAGTAAAATAGATAATATTTAAGCCCTAAATTTCATTTGTCACTTTGTTCCACTATAAGAATTTTTAAAAGTGTTTTGCTATTTTATTAACATACCATTTGTTTTTCAAGTTTTCAATGGCAACTTTTATCATGGAAAATACAAATCATTTCCATGTAAGAAATATTAGACAAAGGGAAACACTTAAAAATTAATTTATTTTAGGTGAAGATTAGATACCCAGGGGGCTAATTCTTCAGTTAATTAGAAAGTAAGAGGCAAATTACAACCCAATGCATCTGACCCTTCCTTGTTAAATCATTTCCACATCCATGATGGCTGTCAGTGAATAGAAAATATTTTCTTTCCATGATTTCTCCAAAAGATCTTTCAATGCATATATCACAGATAGTATACCTATCTGTATGGAATAGAGAGATTCTTCGATTTGTATGTTTAAAAATACATCTATATTTTTTAAAGACTGCAATGTGTGGGATAGGCCTGAAATAGACAAGGCTTGATAGATGGCGACTCATAAGGAGCCTATTACAGTAACCCAAATCAGATTTGATTTATACCAAAGTGATAATAGTGGAGATGAACACTGGAGAGTCCAGACATATTTAAGTAGATAAAATTGACATGATTTGGTAGGGTGAGGAAGAGGGTGTTTTCAATACAGACAAGCAATATAGTATAGTGGCTGAGGTTATGAATTATAAAACGACTACATGTTTTCAAAATCTAAGTCTGCCATTTTCAGACTCTGTGACCTTGGACAAGCCACTTAACTTTACTCTGTCTCATGTCTTCATGTGTAAAATGGGATAACAGTGCTAACCTCATCATGTTGTAAGAATAAGGTGGATTAAATTGTTTATTTAATTTTAACTTAGTACAGTGTTTATTATATACTAAGCACACTATAAGTATTTGTAATTATGATGATGATGATGATGATGATGATGATGATGATACTATTAGCTTATATAGGTGATCCTGAAGAAGAACTACATTTGAGAAAGGAAATAGTGAGTTTGGTTTTGAACACTTGGGATTGAGGTTTTATTTAAGACATTCAAATTATGTTAAACAGTTACTTGGAAATATAGGTCTAAAAGAAGTTTAGGCTGAAGACCAGAATTGGTGGTCTGGTACATCTATATTCATTAAATCAGTGAAAATATATGAGATTTCCTAAGGATAAACATTGCAATGAAAAGAGACAGGTGCCCACGACCATGACATAGTTTCAAGAAATTCCACTTTTAAGGAAGGATGAAGGAAAGTGAACTGACAAGAGAGACAGATGAGTGAGATATCAAAGAAGCCCCCGGAAGAGTTTCCAAGCAGGAAGAAGGGATTAACTCTTTCAATCCTGTTGAGAGGTCTACAAAACTGAGGCTGCAAAGTATCTGCAGAGTTCAGTAATGTGGAGATTATTGATAATCACAGAAAGTGCACTTGGGGTGGACTGAAGAGACAGAAGCCAGAATGGAGTGATTAAGAATGGAGTCAGTGAATGTAGACAACTCTTTTGAGTACTTTGGCTATAAAAATGGAAGTGGGGTAGGGCAGTAGTTTAACTGAGAAGAAGGTTAAGAAGACTGCCTTTTTTTATTTTGCAAAGATAACTTGAAAATGATTAAATGTTGGTGGCATGGAAGCCAAATAGAGAGCAAAGGACCACATGACGTGTGAACTATTTTCTGTTGAACAGAATTCAGCCACAGGAACCAAGTATCGAACAAAGAAGGACCACATGATGTGTAAACTTATGTGCTTGTGTATTGCTTACTCTTCTACCATTGGTGGGCTGACAACGATCACTGGTACTTCCACCAACTTGATCTTCGCTGAGCATTTCAATATGTAAGTAAAAATTTTGAATTATTGATTTGATAAATAGGCAGCACACAACTTATGAGGGTTCGTCTTAACTGATTCAGAGAATTCAGGAACAATAATTGCTATCCTGAGTTAACTCTCCTTTGCTTTTGCTTTTGTTTTGCTTTTGTTTGTTTAATGTTTATTTATTTTTTGAGAGAGAGAGTGAGAGAGCAAGAGAGGGCACACAAGCAGGGGGGGACCAGAGAGAAAAGAAGCAAGAGAAAATCCCAAGCAGACTCCACGCTATTAGTACTGAGCCTGTTGTGGAGCTTGATCCCACGAACCATGAGATCATGACCTGAGCCAAAATCAAGAGTTAACTGATTGAGCCACCCAGGCACCCCTACTCTCCTGTTTTTCATCAGGACATCAGGACGTCTTCCTTTCTACTAAGAGATAAATATGTAGGGCATACTGACTTAATAGGTGCCTACAGATTCCCCAAGTGAGCTCAGATGAGAGAACTCCTGGCTAACCATTCTAATCAAATGAGGAAAACATTAATCTTTATAAATAATACTGCAAATGATAGTTAACTAAAGTGAATATGGATTATTTGTGAAAATTTTTGTAGTGCTTGGGAACTAGTGTTTGAACTTGAAAGATGAGTGGTGAGCAAAGTGCTAATTGCAGAAGTCTTGCCTAGAATTCAAAAATATTTGAAGGATTGAGCAATTGCGAGAAATGGCAGTAAGGAAGTATTCTAAGGACAGATCCATGACTCTAAATATAAGTTTGCCACTGTGATGTTCGTCTATTGCAGAACATGGGGAATCTGTGGGTAGAGTCAGATAACTTGGGTTAAGAATTCCACAATTTTCAGGGGTGCCGGGATGGCTCAGTCGGTTAAGCGTCCAGCTTCAGCTTAAGTCATGATCTGGTGGTTTGTGAGTTTGAGCCCTGCATAGGGCTCTGTGCTGACAGATCAGAGCCTGGAGCCTGCTTTGGATTCTCTGTCTACCTCTCTCTCTGCCCCTCCCCAACTCATATTCTCTCTCTCTCTTTCAAAAATAAATAAATATTAAAAAAATTTTTAATTTCATAATTTTTGGTCACTTCTACTATGTGAATTTGAAGGATAAAAAATGCATAACTCTCCAAAGTCTTAATTTTTCCTGTGGAAAATAGTCACAATTCAGATGATTATTGTGAGAATGAAGTGAGTAAACTATGAAAAAATACTTGGCAATATTTGTAAGAGCTATTGTAAAATCATTGAAATAATAGTTTGAAAGTCCATGCTTTTTATGTCAGGCCTCAAACTGATTCAACACCCAAGGTATATTTTCAAGTACTAACAGGACAGATCGTCAGAGTTTCAGCAAGTTGGGCAGCATCAATGATTCCCAGGAACAGGATTTAGGTCTCTTCACAGAAAAATTCAGGTTCAGAATCAGGAAAACTACATACTTCAAAGAAGATTCACAGATTTTATAAACTTTCTGAAATTATTTGCAAAATGTTGTGCATGCATAGCTTTCCCAAGAAATCCAAGATTCAAGAAAATGTCACACTCTGTTCTAAAAAGAACAAGAACATGTGTGCAAAGAACAGTGGCAGAGTGGGTTAGGACTCTATCACGGACCTTCATGTGCATTTATTGTTTTTCTGGTTACACATCCATCACATATACTTCCAATGGCTGACTTAGAAAGAAACCTCCAAAAGGCATTTATACTTTATTCTCAGTATTAGAGAACTGCTCACTTCCACCATTCCCATGAAACTGATGGAGTTAAAGTAATCTGTGCTGAATTTGCTCTTGGCCTGTGGTCTTGCACACTGTATGAACCAAATTTTCTTTCTTTTATTTAACTGTTCCCTTGATGTTTTGGATGCATTAATCCATTTGCAATGACAGATTGAGAGCATTGTAGCACTTTGAGCAAAATGTTTCAGTAACTATTTTCCCTAATTATCTAATCTTCTAATTCTCCTAGTCATGGGAATTTGGCCAAAGATTCTTTAAATTTAGAAAATACTTAACATGTACTTTGAAATTTGGTGAAGTTTTGTCTTCAAAAGTTTACTTTAACATTAGAAATTATACACAAAAAGAAAGAAACTCACAGTACCCCTTCCTGATAGAAAATACTAGAATAGAGGGGGAAAACAAACTTCAGTGAAAAAACATAACTGATATTATTAAACAAGGTAGATATTTAACTTTTTCTTAAATATTGGCCCTAAAGTACAACAGCATCTCAAGGCAACAATGGAATGAAATGCATTCACTTTCATTAGGAAAGTTCCAGAATCTTAAAACTACAGGGGGAAAAAAGCATATTCTTTGCCCAGGTCTTTGGAGCTGGACAGAAATTGCCCTTTAATTCAAATCCACTACAATAATGCCACCTTTTCCTCCTGGCACTGCTTGCCATCTTTTTTAAGGCAATACCAATGGTGATTTTGTACAATTTCACTTTGGATCTTGCCCAACTCCAAAGGCGCATGAATCCTAAGAAACAATGATTTCCCATTTACTTCTAGAGAAAGGTGCAATTTACAAACAAACAATGGGAGGAAGAGAATGGGTAACACATTTCAAAGCCTTTATTTATCAATCTATCCATCTATCACTTACAGATATAAAATATATTTATATGTGTATATATATAGAGATAGATATAATGTCTTTTGTTCTCTTCTTTGCACAAAGAATGGGAGAACAATGAATTCTGAGAAAGTTAAATTTCATTCAGTGCAAATGAAACAAACCTTTATTCCTTCATTCTTCAGTCAACAAATATTAGTTGAGGACTGACAATGTGCAAAGCACTGTTTTGAATTCTTTTGGAGAAGGCAAAACATAAAACTTGCCAGGGAGCTTCAAGATTCCATCTGGTTTTCTAGACAAAACATACATATGTGAAAACCATTAAAAATTTTAAAACATAATAACATTTGGTTTTTGACGTATAGGAGAGAGGTTAGGTGACATTTATTGAACTCCTACCAGAGATTTTACATACATCTTAGTGCACACATACTCTCTATGTCCTTGCAGTGAAGGTGGCATATACTGGTGAGTAAAGCATAGGCCCTGGACTTAAAATGTCTGTGTTGAAATCCTAGTTCTTCTGTTTACTAACGAGGTGATCTTGGACAGATTATTTACTCTCTTTAAGCTTGCTACCTTGTCAGAGAAATGCAGATAATACTGTCTCTCTCTTAGAGAGTTGTTTTGAGTTTTACAGAAAAATAAGTAACATTTTAAAAAGTGCCTAGCATAGAGCATATGGTCTATAAATGTTGGTTATTATTATTAGAGTTGAGAAAGTGGATGTTTGCCTAGCAGACTGATGTCCAAACCAAGATCATTCAAACCCCAAAGTCTGTCTCCATAAAAAATTACCTCCCTAGAAACATAATTGAACATTTATCCTAACAGAAGACTGTGACTGTTTGCAGCCAGCACCCCCTGGTCACTAGAGAAAACTTGTCTATACAACATGGCCCAATCTTAAAAGAGTAAATACCATGTTCATGAAGAAAATGAAAGCAAATAATTCATAAAACCAAAACACAAGAAGTTTGTACTCATTTTTTTAGGGATGCAGTGAAATGGTCTGTGCGTTTTTGGGCACTGTTTAGAGTAGCAATGCATGGATTGATTGGCATTCTAAGAGTCTGGGGATAGGAGACCAATTAGGAGTCTATTACCAAATTGCTGACAAACCATAAGAGCAGAACTAAGCTAGTTGTGAAGTGATAGGATTTAGACTCAGGACACTGTATGTACAGTCAGGAGGTGGTGAGTATAGGTGTGAGATTTTAAGGGCAAGGAGGGGTTAGAGAAACTCGGGGAATTTTTGCCAATATGGCTAGATGTAGAGCAATGCCATGAATTTCTCAGTTCATTGGAGAAATTAATGAATTTGATTTTAGACATGGCCTGCTAAGAGCCTATCCACAAGACTTTCAGTAGGCATTTGCAAATGCATTGTTGAAGTTAGTTTAAAATTTGAGGGTTGGTGCGCCTGGGTGGCTCAGTCAGTTGAGCATCAGACTTTGGCTCAGATCATGATCTTGTAGTTCGTGGGTTCAAGCCCTGTGTTGGGCTCTGTGCTGACAGCTCAGAACCTGGAGCCTGCTTCAGATTCTGTGTCTCCCTCTCTCTCTGCCTATCCCCCACTTACATGCTGTCTCTCTCTCTCTCTCTGTGTCAAAAATAAACATGATTTTTTTTAATTTGGGGGCTATATATATAGAAATTAAAATCCTGGCTGTAGGAATGGTTACAAAGGGAGAAGAGTTAAAAGAATCAAGACATGTGTAGACTCCTGGGTAGTACCGACAAAAAAGAAGATGAGAAAAGTTTATCAAAGTAGGTGGAGAACCAGGAGAGGAGCATGTGGTGTTTTCAAAGCCACATAAGACCATATTTAAAGTGGAGGATGAGTCAGGAACAGGCAGTGTGGTAGAAGGGTCAAGCAGGATGATGGCTAAGAAAAGGCTTGGTTCTTATCAGTGTCCTCAAAAAAAAAAAAAAAAAAATGTGGGAGACAGGGCCAAATGTAGACTGCAGAGAGTTCAGATGTGAGCAGGTAGTGGGAAGGGGAAAGCATCTAGCTTAAATGCTTCTTTCAAGTTTGACAAAGCAAAGAAGAAAAGAACAAGCATGGTGTGACCAGAGGCAGAGAGTTCTCTTAGAACGAGGAAGATGTCAGCTTTGTTTTACATTCAGAAGAAGGAAACTGTGAAAGAGATATGTGACATTTTGAGAAAGAGAGAGAGAGGGAAAGAGGAAGATTGATTGGCTAAGAGTCAGATAGAAGCAGAATGGAATTAGAAACTAGGGTAGAAACGTTAGTCTTGGAAAAGAAGGACATGCCCTCCTGAGTCATAATGAGGGTGGCCAAGAAGCGAAAAAGTGAAGACAGAGGAATTTCAGGGCATGTGCACAGTTCCCTCCTTTCACAGACAAGGAAACTGAGGCTCAGAGACTTTAAGTGATTGATGATCACTAGTCAACAGAGGAA